TTGTTCTTGATTTTTTGCACACGCTAGGCCCTTGCTCCTGCTATTTTGCACTCGCTAGGCCCTTGTTCTTGCAATTTTGCACACGCTAGGCCCTTGTTCTTTTTATTTTGCATACGCTTGGCCCTTGTTCTTTTTATTTTGAACACGCTAGGCCCTTGTTCTTGCTATTTTGCACACGCTATGCCCTCGTTCTTGCAATTTTGCACACGCTAGGCCCTTGTTTTTTTATTTTGCACACGCTAGGCCCTTGTTCTTTTTATTTTGCACACGCTAGGCCCTTGTTCTTGCTATTCTGCACACGCTATGCCCTTGTTTTTTTTATTTTGCACACGCTAGGCCCTTGTTCTTGCAATTTTGCACACGCTAGACCCTTGTTCTTTTTATTTTGCACACGCTAGGCCCTTGTTCTTGCTATTTCGCGAACGCTAGGCCCTTGTTTTTATTTTTTTGCACACGCTAGGCCCTTGCTCTTGCTATTTTGCACTCGCTAGGCCCTTGTTCTGGCAACTTTTCACAAGCTAGGCCCTTGCTCTTGCAATTTTGCACACGCTAGGCCCTTGTTCTTTTTATTTTGCACACGCTTGGCCCTTGTTCTTTTGATTTTGCACACGCTATGCCCTTGTTCTTTTTATTTTGCACACGCTAGGCCCTTGTTCTTGCAATTTTGCACATGCTAGACCCTTGTTCTTTTTATTTTGCACACGCTGGGCCCTTGCTCTTGCTATTTTGCGAACGCTAGGCCCTTGTTCTTGATTTTTTGCACACGCTAGGCCCTTGCTCTTGCTATTTTGCACTCGCTAGGCCCTTGTTCTTGCAATTTTGCACACGCTAGGCCCTTGTTCTTTCAATTTTGCACACGCTAGGCCCTTGTTCTTTTTATTTTGCACACGCTAGGCCCTTGTTCTTTTTATTTTGCACACGCTAGGCCCTTGTCCTTGCTATTTTGCACACGCTATGCCCTTGTTCTTTTTATTTTGCACACGCTAGGCCTTTGTTCTTTTTATTTTGCACACGCTAGGCCCTTGTTCTTGCTATTTTGCACACGCTATGCCCTTGTTTTTTTTATTTTGCACACGCTAGGCCCTTGTTCTTGCAATTTTGCACAGGCTAGACCCTTGTTCTTTTTATTTTGCACACGCTAGGCCCTTGTTCTTGCTATTTCGCGAACGCTAGGCCCTTGTTTTTGATTTTTTGCACACACTAGGCCCTTGCTCCTGCTATTTTCCACTCGCTAGGCCCTTGTTCTTGCAATTTTGCACAGGCTAGGCCCTTGTTCTTGCAATTTTGCACACGCTAGGCCCTTGTTTTTTTTTATTTTGCACACGCTAGGCCCTTGTTCTTTTTATTTTGCACACGCTAGGCCCTTGTTCTTGCTATTCTGCACACGCTATGCCCTTGTTTTTTTTATTTTGCACATGCTAGGCCCTTGTTCTTGCAATTTTGCACACGCTAGACCCTTGTTTTTTCTATTTTGCACACGCTAGGCCCTTGTTCTTGCTATTTCGCGAACGCTAGGGCCCTTGTTTCTTATTTTTTGCACACGCTAGGCCCTTGCTCTTGCTATTTTGCACTCGCTAGGCCCTTGTTCTTGCAACGTTTCACACGCTAGGCCCTTGCTCTTGCAATTTTGCACACGCTAGGCCCTTGTTATTTTTATTTTGCACACGCTTGGTCCTTGTTCTTTTGATTTTGCACACGCTATGCCCTTGTTCTTTTTATTTTGCACACGCTAGGCCCTTGTTCTTGCAATTTTGCACATGCTAGACCCTTGTTCTTTTTATTTTGCACACGCTAGGCCCTTGCTCTTGCTATTTTGCGAACGCTAGGCCCTTGTTCTTGATGTTTTGCACACGCTAGGCCCTTGCTCTTGCTATTTTGCACTCGCTAGGCCCTTATTCTTGCAATTTTGCACACGCTAGGCCCTTGTTCTTGCAATTTTGCACACGCTAGGCCCTTGTTCTTGCTATTTTGCACACGCTAGGCCCTTGTTCTTTTTATTTTGCACACGCTAGGCCCTTGTTCTTTTTATTTTGCACACGCTAGGCCCTTCTTCTTGCTATTTTGCATATGCTATGCCATAGGTCTTTTTATTTTGCACACGCTTGGCCCTTGTTCTTGCAATTTTGCATATACTAGACCCTTGTTCTTTTTATTTTGCACACACTAGGCCCTTGCTCTTGCATTTTCGCGAACGCTAGGCCCTTGTTCTTGATTTTTTGCACACGCTAGGCCCTTGCTCTTGCTATTTTGCACTCGCTAGGCCCTTGTTCTTGCAATTTTGCACACGCTAGGCCCTTGTTCTTTCAATTTTGCACACGCTAGGCCCTTGTTCTTTTTATTTTGCACACGCTAGGCCCTTGTTCTTTTTATTTTGTACACGCTAGGCCCTTGTCCTTGCTATTTTGCACACGCTATGCCCTTGTTCTTTTTATTTTGCACACGCTAGGCCTTTGTTCTTTTTATTTTGCACACGCTAGGCCCTTGTTCTTGCTATTTTGCACACGCTATGCCCTTGTTTTTTTATTTTGCACACGCTAGGCCCTTGTTCTTGCAATTTTGCACATGCTAGACCCTTGTTCTTTTTATTTTGCACACGCTAGGCCCTTGTTCTTGCTATTTCGCGAACGCTAGGCCCTTGTTCTTAATTTTTTGCTCACGCTAGGCCCTTGCTCTTGCTATTTTGCACTCGCTAGGCCCTTGTTCTGGCAACTTTGCACACGCTAGTGTCGAAATATATTGTCATGTTTTATAACTGCTTGTAGTTGTAGTTAGTGTAGTTATTTAAACTGTTGTTGGTGGTGCACCTTATTTGGTTTCTATACTATATGTACCCTTGAACCTATAGTGAAACCATCACTTTTCTCCAACTCCTCTCTCAACTCACTCGACACCTCGCCTAGGGTATAACCCGCTCGATACCTAAGTTCGGGCCTAAGCAACTAAGCCTAGGCCCCACCTCTCAACTTACCTATTATTCTCGACAGCTAGGCCCTTGCTCTTGCAATTTTGCACACGCTAGGCCCTTGTTCTTTTTATTTTGCACACGCTTGGCCCTTGTTCTTTTGATTTTGCACACGCTATGCCCTTGTTCTGTTTATTTTGCACACGCTAGGCCCTTGTTCTTGCAATTTTGCACATGCTAGACCCTTGTTCTTTTTATTTTGCACACGCTAGGCCCTTGCTCTTGCTATTTTGCGAACGCTAGGCCCTTGTTCTTGATTTTTTGCACACGCTAGGCCCTTGCTCTTGCTATTTTGCACTCGCTAGGCCCTTGTTCTTGCAATTTTGCACACGCTAGGCCCTTGTTCTTGCAATTTTGCACACGCTAGGCCCTTGTTCTTGCTATTTTGCACACGCTAGGCTCTTGTTCTTTTTATTTTGCACACGCTAGGCCCTTGTTCTTTTTATTATGCACACGCTAGGCCCTTCTTCTTGCTATTTTGCATATGCTATGCTATAGGTCTTTTTATTTTGCACACGCTTGGCCCTTGTTCTTGCAATTTTGCACATGCTAGACCCTTGTTCTTTTTATTTTGCACACACTAGGCCCTTGCTCTTGCATTTTCGCGAACGCTAGGCCCTTGTTCTTGATTTTTTGCACACGCTAGGCCCTTGCTCTTGCTATTTTGCACTCGCTAGGCCCTTGTTCTTGCAATTTTGCACACGCTAGGCCCTTGTTCTTTCAATTTTGCACACGCTAGGCCCATGTTCTTTTTATTTTGCACACGCTAGGCACTTGTTCTTTTTATTTTGCACACGCTAGGCCCTTGTCCTTGCTATTTTGCACACGCTATGCCCTTGTTCTTTTTATTTTGCACACGCTAGGCCTTTGTTCTTTTTATTTTGCACACGCTAGGCCTTTGTTCTTGCTATTTTGCACACGCTATGCCCTTGTTTTTTTTATTTTGCACACGCTATGCCCTTGTTCTTGCAATTTTGCACATGCTAGACCCTTGTTTTTTTTTTTTGCACACGCTAGGCCCTTGTTCTTGCTATTTCGCGAACGCTAGGCCCTTGTTCTTAATTTTTTGCACACGCTAGGCCCTTGCTCTTGCTATTTTGCACTCGCTAGGCCCTTGTTCTGGCAACTTTGCACACGCTAGTGTCGAAATATATTGTCATGTTTTATAACTGCTTGTAGTTGTAGTTAGTGTAGTTATTTAAACTGTTGTTGGTGGTGCACCTTATTTGGTTTCTATGCTATATGTACCCTTGAACCTATAGTGAAACCATCACTTTTCTCCAACTCCTCTCTCAACTCACTCGACACCTCGCCTAGGGTATAACCCGCTCGATACCTAAGTTCGGGCCTAAGCTACTAAGCCTAGGCCCCATCTCTCAACTTACCTATTATTCTCGACAGCTAGGCCCTTGCTCTTGCAATTTTGCACACGCTAGGCCCTTGTTCTTGCAATTTTGCACACGCTTGGCCCTTGTTCTTTTGATTTTGCACACGTTATGCCCTTGTTCTTTTTATTTTGCACACGCTAGGCCCTTGTTCTTGCAATTTTGTACATGCTAGACCCTTGTTCTTTTTATTTTGCACACGCTAGGCCCTTGCTCTTGCTATTTTGCGAACGCTAGGCCCTTGTTCTTGATTTTTTGCACACGCTAGGCCCTTGCTCTTGCTATTTTGCACTCGCTAGGCCCTTGTTCTTGCAATTTTGCACACGCTAGGCCCTTGTTCTTGCAATTTTGCACACGCTAGACCCTTGTTCTTGCTATTTTGCACACGCTAGGCCCTTGTTCTTTTTATTTTGCACACGCTAGGCCCTTGTTCTTTTTATTTTGCACACGCTATGCCCTTGTTCTTTTTATTTTGCTCACGCTAGGCCCATATTCTTGCTACTTTGCACACGCTATGCCCTTGTTCTTTTTATTTTGCACACGCTAGGCCCTTATTCTTGCAATTTTGCACATGCTAGACCCTTGTTCTTTTTATTTTGCACACGCTAGGCCCTTATTCTTGCAATTTTGCACATGCTAGACCCTTGTTCTTTTTATTTTGCACCAGCAGCAGACCCACCGCCAGGACAGACAGCAGTATTCTCAGCACCAACACCCTCAGCAGCTCCAGCTCCAGTAGGACCCCGCAGGCCCAGCAGCTCCGGGACCGGCAGCACCAGCACCCTCGACGGTCGAAGAAGCACCAGCTCCAGCAGCACGCCTCCAGCGGCGAGCAAACCACTCGCGCAGCTCCTGTGGAGAGAGGGGCTCCCGTCGAGACGCAGCAGCAGGAGAATCCCCAGGCTCAGCAGCTCCAGACTCAGCACCCCCAGGCTCAGCAGCTCCCAACTCAGCACCCCCAGGCTAAGCAGCTCCCAACTCAGCACCCCCAGACCCAGCACCCCTTAGCTCAGCAGCTCCAGGCACAGCACCCCCCGGCTCAGCACCCCCAGGCTCAGCACCCTCCGCATTAGCACCCCCAGGCCCAGCACCCCCAGGCTCAGCACCTCCAGGCCCGGCACCCCCGCGCACAGCACCCCCAGAGTCAGCACCCCCTGGCTCAGCACCCGCAGCAGCACCAAAGTCACCAGTAACCTCGACCGGGTCAACTGCGTCTACCTGGGACACACCTGAGAGAGGAGGGGGTCTACCGGGGGGGAACCGGTACAAGGAAGTCCGGCGGAGGGGGGAGGGAAGGAGTGCGGTAGGGGAAGAGGCGGTAGAAGGGGACTGACTCGTCGAACGTGACGTCCTGGGAGGACAGAACACGACGAGAGGAGGGGTGGTAAAACTGCCACCCTGGAGCGTCAGTGGGGAAGCCAAGGAAGACACAGGGAGTAGCACGAGGGGACAGCTTGTCCGCAGACAAGTCGCGGACAAACGCCCGAGATCCCAAGACACGGAACGCCGACGCATCGCCAACCTTCCCCGTCCACAGCAAGACTGGGGACATCGCGGGCCGAGAGACCCTGGGGTGAAGGTTGAGCTGATGCGCCGCGTACCTCACCGCAAACAGCCACAGAAAATGGGGGGCAGCCGCATGCATCATGGACGTACAAACGACATCCATGACCATGCCAATGCGGCGCTCAGCAATCCCATTTTGCTGTGGATAGTCCGGAAGCGTGAAGGTCTGGCGGATCCCCCGTGCACGACAGTAGTCTCGCAGAAGGTGAGAGGAGAACTCTCCGCCTCTGTCCGAGTGCAGACGCAGAACAGGAAAGTCTGAGCCGAAGCTCTTCCTGAGCTGGAGACGAGCCTCGCGGATCCAGTCGATCAGCACCTCAGTGACAGCACCCTTGCTGCGCAAGGGGAGGACTGTGGTGTAACGCGAGTAGTCGTCAACCACCAACAGGAAGTAGCGCTCGTGACCCTGCCCACGGACGGGGGCTGGGCCCCACACGTCCATGTGAAGGGTCTGCAGTGGAGCCTCTGTCGGGGGGAACTGGGAGGAGTGAGGAGCAGCCCGGAGGCGCCCCTCGACATAGGGGACACCGGAAGGTCCTGGCCCGGAGGGAAGGGGAGGGAGAGACCGGGGAAGACCAGAGACAAGGACACGGGAAGCAATGCTCCGAAGACGGGGCAAGGAGGGGTGGCCAAGACGGTGGTGCCACAGGAGAGTCTCGTGAGACAGGAGGCGACAAGAACAGGGGGCAGACTCAGGACCTGACCGGGACGCAGCAGCAAGCACCTGACCTGACGCAGCTACCTGACCCGACGCAGGGACAGGAGGAGATGTAGTGGTCAGGGTGTAGAGGCTCGACCCTGGCCGACGTGAGAACGTGGCCAGGTGTCGGCCTGTGCGTGCGTCCGTGCAGTGGGTCACCCGCTGACTCGCAGGAGTGAACTGGTGAACCCCCGCATCCTGTAGGTCCGCACCACTCACCAAGTTCGTCGAGAACGAGGGAAGGTACAGACCAGACAGTGTGCCCGAGGGGGCAGCCGGACACGGGAGCACAGTAGAGAAGTGAGAGAGGACAGGACCCCCAGAGGGGTCAGCCAGGGAGACCGCAATCGGCCGGCCAAGCGGCGTGAGGGTGGTGCGGTCTCGAAAGAAGGAGCGAGAAGCTCCAGAGTCAAGTGTGAAAGTGAGGGAGGACGAAGGCGACGCAGTACTTGAGAGCGCAGTCTAACCAGCACCTGAGAGCGCAGACGCACTGGCACCTAGAGCGGCAGCCTCACAAGCACCTAGCGCAGCAGTACCAATGCCCGGGTCGGGCGAGAAACACCGGTAACAGTCACCCTCCTCACTAATAGTCACAGCATACATAGCAGCAAGGATAGCATCAAAATCAAGATCAAAGATCGCTACACCAGCCCGAAGAAGCTCATCCCTGCGAGGGATCTCACTAGCCCTGGGGAACTGCTGACGCCAAGCGTCCGTCAGGCGGCCAAAGCAGCGCTGGGTGGGGTGGGCACCCCCACACTGCTCACCCGCGCGGTCGCCGGAACGAAGGACGTAGGTGCAAGGACCAGTACCCCCACCCCTCTGACGCCGAGTGTACCACTCACGGAGCTGCTGGGGCAGAGGGACGTCACGCGAACGCTGCTGCTGCTGCTGCTGCGAGCGCTGACCACCACCACCGCCGCTCCGCTGCTGGGTACCGCCTCGACCAGCTCCACCTCCTCCGCCACCACCGCCTCCTCCGCCGCCGCCTCCCCCACCGTCACCGCCACCACTGCCGCTACCACCACCGCCGCCGCCACCACCGCCGCCTCCTCCGCCGCTGCCACCACTACCACCACCACCCCCTCCACAACTCCCGCCGCCACCCCCACTCCCTCCGCTGCCTCCACTGCCACCTCCACCGCCTCCTCCAGCTCCACCAGCGCCCTTGCTCCCCTTGCCCTTGCCAGAGCGGCGTCTCCCACTAGGGGCAAACGCCGCGCCAACCGACTCGAGACCAAGCAGGTCGGCAGCAGCAGCAGAGGCAACAGAGGGCAGCAAGGGGGGAAGGAGAGCACCCCTCAAAGATGGGGGTGCGAGGGTCACCACGAGAAGCTCCTACAGCGACGATGCTCTTCTCCGCCGCAAGGAGGGCCTTCTCGAGGACGTCGACGGTGAGGGTGGTGGGACAGACTGCGAGAAAGTGGTCCCTGACTACGCGAAGGGAGTCAGGGAGGCGCGCGACTACGTAGTAGAGAGTGATGTACATGGGGGGGGGTTCTTAGCGCAGAACTCAGCAGGAAGGGCGGCGCGGTAGCGAGTGTCACTAGTGCGGAGGTGCATAATGAGATCAGCGACAGTGGGAAAGGCAGAGAGGTCAGGAAAGAGGTAGGGAAGCATGAGACGGCTCAGTGCAGCAGTGGCAGGGGAGGAGTAGCGCGCAACTACAGCGTCGTACAAGGTCTGAGCACTCTTGTACTGACTAAAGTGTGCGCGCTCAGAGGTAGGGAGGTGGCGACGCACAGCAAGACGTGCAGCAGCATCGCGGGTGGCCCACTGAGAGCGCACAGTGGGATCAGCATCAGCAGCAGGGGCAGGAGAGGTGCCAGAAGTGAGGTCAAAGAGAGAGAGGCCGTCTGCCCTATCGCACTGTAAAAACAACTGCAGGTCGTCGACCCAGACCTCAAAGTCAATGGCGCGACCCTCAGCGTCAAAAGCTAGGACACTAGGGGTAGCCATGACGACGACAGCGAAGCAGTGCAAGCAGTAGGAGAAGAGCACGCAGTGACAGTGGGACTGTGCTCACCAGGCAGGGCAGGCCGGGCAGCTCTGCAGAAGGGCGGCTCGGCGACTCAGCGACTCGGCTGCTGGGCGGCTCGGCGGCAGGGCGGCTCGGGTGTCGGGCGGCTCGGCTCCCGGGCGGCTCGGCGGCAGGGCGGCTCGGGTGTCGGGCGGCTCGGGTGCAGGGCGGCTCGGCTCCCGGGCGGCTCGGCGGCAGGGCGGCTCGGGTGCCGGACGGCTCGGCCGCACTGCTGCTCGGCTGCTGCAGGTGGGCGGCTCGGCTGCTGCAGGTAGGGTGGCGGGGCCGCGAGACCAGGGGCGGCGGGGCCGGCGGTGCAGGGACGGGGACGGCGGGGCCGGCAGGTGATGGAAAGGGGGATTTAGGGTTTAGAATCTGGGAGAAGGGGATGGAATCTGGGAGAAGGGGATGGAATCGGGGAGAAGGGGATGGAATGAGGGAGAAGGGGATGGAATCTGGGAGAAGGGGATGGAATCTGGGAGAAGGGGATGGAATCTGGGAGAAGGGGATGGAATCTGGGAGAAGGGGATGGAATCTGGGAGAAGGGGGTGGAATCTGGGAGAAGGGGATGAACCCTGGGAGAAGGGGATGGAATCTGGGAGAAGGGGATGGAATCTAGGAGAAGGGGATGGAATCTGGGAGAAGGGGATGGAATCTGGGAGAAGGGGATGGAATCAGGGAGAAGGGGATGGAATCTAGGAGAAGGGGATGGAATCTGCGAGAAGGGGATGGAATCTGGGAGAAGGGGATGGAATCTGGGAGAAGGAGATGGAATCTGGGAGAAGAGGGTGGAATCAGACCCCCTCATTCTCCCTCCTTCCATCACCCCGCCCCATTCTCCCGCTTTCCATCACCTCGCCCCATTCTCCCGCTTTCCATCACCCAGCCCCATTCTCCCACGTTCCATCACCCTGCCCCATTTTCCCGCTTTCTATCACCCAGCCCCATTCTCACGCTTTCCATCACCCTGCCCCAATCTCCCGCTTTCCATCACCCCGCCCCATTCTCCCTCCTTCCATCACCCCGCCCCATTTTCCCGCTTTCCATCACCCCGCCCCATTCTCCCGCTTTCCATAACCCCGCCCCATTCTCCCTCCTTCCATCACCCGCCCCGTTCTCCCTCCTTCCATCACCCCGCCCCTTTCTCCCTCCTTCCATCACCCCGCCCTATTCTCCCGCTCTCCATCACCCCGCCCCATTCTCCCGCTTTCCATCACCCCGCCCCATTCTCCCGCTTTCCATCAACCCGCCCCATTCTCCCGCTTTCCATCACCCAGCCCCATTCTCCCGCTTTCCATCACCCCGCCCCATTCTCCCGCCCCATTCTCCCTCTTTCCATCACCCCGCCCCATTCTCCCGCATTCCTTCACCCCGCCCCATTTTCCCTCGTTCCATCACCCCGCTCCATTCTCCCGCTTTCCATCACCCACCCCCATTCTTCCTCTTTCCATCACCCTGCCCCATTCTCCCGATTTCCATCACCACGCCCCATTCTCCCGCTTTCCACCACCCCGCCCCGTTCTCCCACTTTCCATCACCCCGCCCCATTCTCCCGCTTTCCATCACCACGCCCCATTCTCCCTCTTTCCATCACCCCGCCCCGTTCTCCTGCTTTCCATCACCACGCCCCATTCTCCCGCTTTCCATCACCCCGCCCCATTCTCCCGCTTTCCATCACCCCGCCCCATTCTCCCGCTTTCCATCACCCCGCCCCATTCTCCCTCTTTCCATCACCCCGCTCCGTTCTCCCGCTTTCCATCACCCTGCCCCATTCTCCCGCTTTCCATCACCCCGCCCCATTCTCCCGCTTTCCATCACCCCGCCCCATTCTCCCTCTTTCCATCACCCAGCCCCATTCTCCCGATATCTGTCACCCCGCCCCATTCTCCCTCTTTCCATCACCCCGCCCCATTCTCCCGATTTCCGTCACCCCGCCCCATTCTCCCTCTTTCCATCACCCCGCCCCATTCTCCCTCTTTCCATCACCCCGCCCCATTCTCCCTCTTTCCATCACCCCGCCCCATTCTCCTGATTTCCGTCACCTCGCCCCATTCTCCCTCTTTCCATCACCCCGCCCCATTCTCCCGATTTTCGTCATCCTGCCCCATTCTCCCTCTTTCCATCACCCCGCCCCGTTCTCCCTCTTTCCATCACCCCGACCCATTCTCCCGCTTTCCATCACCCCGCCCCATTCTCCCTCTTTCCATCACCCCGCCCCATTCTCCCGCTTTCCATCACCCCGCCCCATTCTCCCTCTTTCCATCACCCCGCCCCGTTCTCCCGCTTTCCATCACCCCGCCCCATTCTCCCGCTTTCTATCACCCAGCCCCATTCTCACGCTTTCCATCACCCTGCCCCAATCTCCCGCTTTCCATCACCCCGCCCCATTCTCCCTCCTTCCATCACCCCGCCCCATTTTCCCGCTTTCCATCACCCCGCCCCATTCTCCCGCTTTCCATAACCCCGCCCCATTCTCCCTCCTTCCATCACCCGCCCCGTTCTCCCTCCTTCCATCACCCCGCCCCTTTCTCCCTCCTTCCATCACCCCGCCCTATTCTCCCGCTCTCCATCACCCCGCCCCATTCTCCCGCTTTCCATCACCCCGCCCCATTCTCCCGCTTTCCATCAACCCGCCCCATTCTCCCGCTTTCCATCACCCAGCCCCATTCTCCCGCTTTCCATCACCCCGCCCCATTCTCCCGCCCCATTCTCCCTCTTTCCATCACCCCGCCCCATTCTCCCGCATTCCTTCACCCCGCCCCATTTTCCCTCGTTCCATCACCCCGCTCCATTCTCCCGCTTTCCATCACCCACCCCCATTCTTCCTCTTTCCATCACCCTGCCCCATTCTCCCGATTTCCATCACCACGCCCCATTCTCCCGCTTTCCACCACCCCGCCCCGTTCTCCCACTTTCCATCACCCCGCCCCATTCTCCCGCTTTCCATCACCACGCCCCATTCTCCCTCTTTCCATCACCCCGCCCCGTTCTCCTGCTTTCCATCACCACGCCCCATTCTCCCGCTTTCCATCACCCCGCCCCATTCTCCCGCTTTCCATCACCCCGCCCCATTCTCCCGCTTTCCATCACCCCGCCCCATTCTCCCTCTTTCCATCACCCCGCTCCGTTCTCCCGCTTTCCATCACCCTGCCCCATTCTCCCGCTTTCCATCACCCCGCCCCATTCTCCCGCTTTCCATCACCCCGCCCCATTCTCCCTCTTTCCATCACCCAGCCCCATTCTCCCGATATCTGTCACCCCGCCCCATTCTCCCTCTTTCCATCACCCCGCCCCATTCTCCCGATTTCCGTCACCCCGCCCCATTCTCCCTCTTTCCATCACCCCGCCCCATTCTCCCTCTTTCCATCACCCCGCCCCATTCTCCCTCTTTCCATCACCCCGCCCCATTCTCCTGATTTCCGTCACCTCGCCCCATTCTCCCTCTTTCCATCACCCCGCCCCATTCTCCCGATTTTCGTCATCCTGCCCCATTCTCCCTCTTTCCATCACCCCGCCCCGTTCTCCCTCTTTCCATCACCCCGACCCATTCTCCCGCTTTCCATCACCCCGCCCCATTCTCCCTCTTTCCATCACCCCGCCCCATTCTCCCGCTTTCCATCACCCCGCCCCATTCTCCCTCTTTCCATCACCCCGCCCCGTTCTCCCGCTTTCCATCACCCCGCCCCATTCTCCCGCTTTCCATCACCCCGCCCCATTCTCCCGCTTTCCATCACCCCGCCCCATTCTCCCGCTTTCCATCACCCGCCCCATTCTCCCGATTTCCATCACCCCGCCCCATTCTCCCGCTTTCCATCACCCAGCCCCATTCTTCCGCTTTCCATCACCCCGACCCATTCTCCCACTTTCCATCACCCCGCCCCATTCTTCCGCTTTCCATCACCCCGCCCCATTCTCCCGATTTCCATCACCCCGCCCCATTCTACCGCTTTCCATCACCCCGCCCCATTCTCCCGCTTTCCATCACCCCGCCCCATTCTCCCGCATTCCATCATCCGTCCCATTCTCCCTCCTTCCATCACCCCGCCCCATTCTTCCGCTTCCCATCATCCCGCCCCATTCCCCCGCTTTCCATCACCCCTCCCCATTCTACCTCCTTCCATCACCCCGCCCCATTCTCCCTCTTTCCATCACCCCGCCCCATTCTCCCTCTTTCCATCACCCCGCCCCATTCTCCCGATTTCCGTCACCTCGCCCCATTCTACCTCTTTCCATCACCCCGCCCCATTCTCCCGATTTCCGTCATCCTGCCCCATTCTCCCTCTTTCCATCACCCCGCCCCGTTCTCCCTCTTTCCATCACCCCGACCCATTCTCCCGCTTTCCATCACCCCGCCCCATTCTCCCTCTTTCCATCACCCCGCCCCATTCTCCCGCTTTCCATCACCCCGCCCCATTCTCCCTCTTTCCATCACCCCGCCCCGTTCTCCCGCTTTCCATCACCCCGCCCCATTCTCCCGCTTTCCATCACCCCGCCCCATTCTCCCGCTTTCCATCACCCCGCCCCATTCTCCCGCTTTCCATCACCCCGCCCCATTCTCCCGATTTCCATCACCCCGCCCCATTCTCCCGCTTTCCATCACCCAGCCCCATTATTCCGCTTTCCATCACCCCGACCCATTCTCCCACTTTCCATCACCCCGCCCCATTCTTCCGCTTTCCATCACCCCGCCCCATTCTCCCGATTTCCATCACCCCGCCCCATTCTCCCGCTTTCCATCACCCCGCCCCATTCTCCCGCTTTCCATCACCCCGCCCCATTCTCCCGCTTTCCATCATCCCGCCCCATTCTCCCTCCTTCCATCACCCCGCCCCATTCTTCCGCTTCCCATCATCCCGCCCCATTTCCCCGCTTTCCATCACCCCTCCCCATTCTCCCTCCTTCCATCAACCCGCCCCATTCTCTCGCTTTCCATCACCCCGCCCCATTCTCCCGCTTTCCATCACCCCGCCCCATTTTCCCGCTTTCCATCACTCTGCCCCATTATCCCTCCTTCCATCACCCCGCCCCATTCTCCCTCCTTCCATCACCCCGCCCCATTCTCCTGCTTTCCATCACCCCGCCTCATTCTCCCGCTTCCCATAACCCCACCCCATTCTCCCGCTTTCCATCACCCCGCCACATTCTCCCACTTTCCATCACCCCGCCCCCTTCTCTCTCCTTCGATCACCCCGCCCTATCTCCCTCCTTCCATCACCCCGCCCCATTCTCCCTCTTTCCATCACCCCGCCCCATTCTCCCGCTTTCCATCACCCCGCCCCATTTTCCCGATTTCCATCACCCCGCCCCATTCTCCCGCTTTCGATCACCCCGCCCCATTCTCTCGCTTTCCATCACCCCGGCCCATTCTCCCGCTTTCCATCACCCCGCCCCATTCTCCCGCTTTCAATCACCCAGCCCCATTCTCCCTCTTTCCATCACCCCGCCCCATTCTCCCGCATTTCATCACCCCGCCCCATTTTCCCTCGTTCCATCACCCCGCTCCATTCTCCCGCTTTCCATCACCCCGCCCAATTCTCCGTCTTTCCATCACCCCTCCCCATTCTCCCTCTTTCCATCACCCCGCCCCATTCTCCCGCTTTCCATCACCCCGCCCCATTCTCCCTCTTTCAATCACCCCGCCCCATTCTCCCTCTTTCCATCACCCCGCCCCATTCTCCTGCTTTCCATCACCGCGCTCCATTCTCCCTCTTTCCATCACCCCGCCCCATTCTCACGCTTTCCATCACCCCGCCCCATTCTCCCTCTTTCCATCACCCCGCTCCTTTCTCGCTTTCCATCACCCCGCCCAATTCTCCCTCTTTCCATCACCCCTCCTCATTCTTCCTCTTTCCATCACCCCGTCCCATTCTCCTGCTTTCCACCACCCCGCTTTCCATAACCCCGCCCAATTCTCCCGCTTTCCATCACCACGCCCCATTCTCCCACTTTCCATCACCCCGCCCCATTCTCTCGCTCTCGATCATCCCGCCCCATTCTCCCGCCTTTCATCACCCCGCCCCATTCTCCCGCTTTCAATCACCCTGCCCCATTCTCCCTCTTTCCATCACCCCGCCCCATTCTCCCGCTTTCCATCACCCCGCCCCATTCTCCCTCTTTTTATCAGCCCGCCCCATTCTCCCGCTTTCAATCACCCCGAACCATTCTCCCGCTTTACATCACCCCACCCCATTCTCCTGCTTTCCCTCACCCCGCCCCTTTCTCCCGCTTTCCATCACCCTGCCCCATTCTCCCGCTTTCCATCACCCCACTCCATTCTCCCGCTTTCCATCACCCTGCTCAATTCTCCCTCTTTCCATCACCCCTCCCCATTCTCCCTCTTTCCATCACCAAGCCCCATTCTCCCGCTTTCCATCACCCCGCCCCATTCTCCCTCTTTCCATCACCCCGCCCCTTTCTTCCTCTTTCCATCACCCCGCCCCATTCTCCCTCTTTCCACCACCCCGCCCCATTCTCCCTGTTTTCATCACCCCGCCCCATTCTCCCGTTTTCCATCACCCCGCCTCATTCTCCCGCTCTCCATCACCCCGCCCCATTCTCCCTCTTTCCATCACCCCGCCCCATTCTCCCGCTTTCCATCACCCCGCCCTGTTCTCCCTCTTTCCATCACCCCGCCCCATTCTCTCTCTTTCCATCACCCCGCCCCATTCTCCCGCTTTCCATCACCCCGCCGCACTCTCCATCTTTCCATCACTCCGCCCCATTCTCCCGCCTTCCATCACCCCGCCCCATTCTCCATCCTACCATCACCCCGCCCCATTCTCCCTCTTTCCATCACCCCGCCCGATTCTCCAGCCTTCCATCACCCCGCCCCATTCTCCCTCTTTCCATCACCCCGCCCCATTCTCCCTCTTTCCATCACCCCGCCCCATTCTCCCTCTTTCCATCACCCCGCCCCATTCTCCCTCTATCCATCACCCCGCCCCATTCTCCCGCTTTCCTTCACCCCGTCCCATTTTCCCGCTTTCCATCACCCCGCCCCATTCTCTTTCTTTCCATCACCTCGCCCCATTCTCCCGCTTTCCATCACCCCGCCCCATTCTCTCGCTTTCCATCACCCCGCCCCATTCTCCTGCTTTCCATCACCCTGCCCATTCTCCCGCTTTCCATCAAACCCGCCCCATTCTCCGTCTTTCCATCACCCCGCCCCATTCTCCCGCTTTCCATCACCCCGCTCCATTCTCCCGCTTTCCATCACCTCGCCCAATTCTCCCTACTTCCATCACCCCTCCCCATTCTCCCTATTTCCATCACCCCGACCTATTCTCCCTCTTTCCATCACCCCGCCCCATTCTCCCTCTTTCCATCACCCCGCCCCATTCTCCCTCTTTCCGTCACCCCGCCACATTATCCCTCTTTCCATCACCCTGCCCTATTCTCCCTGTTTCCATCACCCTGCCCCATTCTCCCTATTTCCATCACCCCGCCCCATTCTCCCGCTTTCCATCACCCCGCCCCATTCTCCCGCTTTCCATCACCCCGCCCCATTCTCCCACTTTCCATCACCCCGTCCCGTTCTCCCGCTTCCCATCATCCCACCCCGTTCTCCCGCTTTCCATCACCCTGCCCCATTCTCCCGTTTTCCATCACCCCGCCCCCTTCTCCCTCTTTCCATCACCCCAGTCATTCTCCCGTTTTCCATCACCCCTCCCCATTCTCCCTCTTTCCATCACCCCGCCCCATTCTCCCTCTTTCCATCACCCCGCCCCATTCTCCCGCTTTCTATCACCCCGCCCCATTCTCATGCTTTCCATCACCCAGCTCCATTCTCCCGCTTTCCATCACCCCGCCTAATTCTCCCTCTTTCCATCACTCCTCCCCATTCTCCCTCTTTCCATCACCCTGCCCCATTCTCCCGCTTTCCATCACCCCGCCCCATTCTCCCGCTTTCCATCACCCCAAGCCATTCTCCCTCTTTCCATCACCCCGCCTCATTCTCCCGCTTTCCATCACCCCGCCCCATTCTCCCGCTTTCCATCACCCCGCCCCATTGTCCCTCTTTCCATCACCCCGCCCCATTCTCCCTCTTTCCATCACCCCACCCCATTCTCCCGCTTTCAATCACCGCGCCCCATTCTCCCCCATTTCATCACCCCGCCCCATTCTCCCGCTTTCCATCACCCCGCCCCATTCTCCCGCTTTCCATCAACCCGCCCCATTCTCCCTCTTTCCATCACCCCGCCCCATTCTCCTGCTTTCCATCACCCAGCTCCATTCTCCCGCTTTCCATCACCCCGCCTAATTCTCCCTCTTTCCATCACTCCTCCCCATTCTCCCTCTTTCCATCACCCTGCCCCATTCTCCCGCTTTCCATCACCCCGCCCCATTCTCCCGCTTTCCATCACCCCAAGCCATTCTCCCTCTTTCCATCACCCCGCCTCATTCTCCCGCTTTCCAT